TTTCAATATTTTTCATTCTGAGAACCAATGTCTTGTTTAATGTCATTTTAAGAAGAGAATATCTGACACCCAGAGAAGGCTGAAGCACCCACTACTCCTCCTTCTGCTCTTCCACACCAAAGGCGAGAGTCTCTAGGCTTTTCTGAATTCTTTTGACTGCAAAGCAGTTCGATCTACGTCCAGTTCTAATTCTGCTCCTTTCCTCACTCCTATGCCTGCTTCCTCTGTACAAGGAAAGCAGGAATAAAAAGCAAGCCCTCTCTCCCTTAACACCTAAGGCACAGGAAAACAGATTTTCAACTGAGGGAATAAAATAAAAGGAAACAAAGAAAAGAATTATGAACTTTTGGAAGAGTCATATTATATTGCTTTTTTTGTATTTTTGTGTTTCTACATTGTTATTTGTGCATCTGTTAAGAGGGATATTTCTTCTGATTTTATATAGGAGTCTTCTTAGTGATAATCTTCCTCTTTAGGTCTCAACCCCCACTACCACTCAGAAGAGAGAAAGCAGATAGCAGTCAGCAGTAACAATAATAACTCACAAACAAGCCGACTAAATATTATTTTTAAAAACTATTAGAAAGGAAAGGTTGCAGGAGGGTGAATATGGTGGCAATATTACGTATTCATGTATGAACATGGGAAAATGAGACCTGTTGAAACTGTTCTATGAAGGGGGAGAGGGATAAAGAAGAATGATTGAGGGGTGAATTTAACTAAGATATATTTTTTCTTTTTTATAATTTTTACATCTACTTATATGTGTATACATTAGTCGTGCCACCTCCCCCTCCTCCGGACCACCTTAGATGTAAGCACTTTTGTAAATGTAGTAATGTACCTCCAGTATAATGATATGTTAATAAAAGTAATTTTTAAAATGCCACAAGTGAAGCAAAATGTTAGTGTCTCCCGGTTTCTTAGAAACCCATTTCAGGTCCTAAAAGTGGTAATAATACAATTCACAAGAATATGCTTAAACAAAAATTTTTAAGTATATAAGCCAAAACTTTTTTACTAAAGTTATGTTGGGAATATCCATTTGTCTTTGTAGGAATTTTTTACATTACCTACTTAAAGCAAGATTAAAATTAGTTTTAACTGAATATGGTATCTGACAATCTACCTATATTTAACAGGGAAAATGTTTCTTGTCTACACTTAAAACTTAAAATTCTTTTTTTTTGCTCCAAAAAGCATGAATAAAAAACTATTGGAAACAATAACTATACTTCTAATAGGAACAGAAAGGAAAGGTGCTAAGGTAGTTATGGCATAAACCAGGGATTTAAAAATTAGTAAATGTAAAAGTATTGGTAATTGAATAATATAAAGGACGGTTGGGGAAAAGAAAAATGAGAGAATTAACCAAGATAGGAAGAAGAGGATATGTATAAGGGATGAAAGTATGAGGTATAATAGTGAGGGAAAACAAAATAGAACAAATATAGAGCAAGACAAAACAATTTTAAAGACCATTCAAAGGAAAAATGATACCTGCTGAAACTATTCCAGGAATGGGGGAAAGGGAGATAAAGAAGAATAGTGGAGGGGGTGGATTCAAGTATGATATGTTTGATATATTGTAAGAATTTTTGTAAATGCCACAATATACCCCCATCCAGCATAAAAAAATTAAAAATTAAAAATAAAATAAATAAATAAAAAGACCATTCACTATTTCTTCCTTGCTGAGATGTTGGATGGAGAGAATTTGCTTTTTCCCAGGCTGTCACTTTGCAGTACTTACATAGGCAGCAGGGGGGCAGTGAGTCATTTTCTCTCTGAAATCCAAGCAGGTCAGACTGGCAAGGGCTGTTTGGAGACTGAGATCCACCCTGCGTTTTTTGTCACTGCAGAGAACACGCTGCTATGATGACTGCTGGGTTGAATTCCTACCGGTGTTCTGCATGAGCGGGTCTGGGTGTAGGAGCAGCTTAAGGGAAGCTGCTGAGCCCTTGGACCAGTCAGGTGCATGCCTCCTCAACCAGAGGCACTTTGCCAGTGTGGCACGGGCATGGGAAATACTGCAGCAGTGGCTGCATGCCTTTGGGATCTGCAAGTGTAGAAAGCTAGCAAATCAAAGCATTTTGAGCTGGGTGGAGGTGAGGTGCACACACTGAGTGATTACGTGTGTCCTGCTTATAGTCATAAAACTTGTCTCTCTCTTCTTCCCAGAGGTTGGGGCAGTTTCCAAATGAATGTGGTTTCAATTTCCCTCTTCAGTACAACCCACACTTACCACCATGTAGACCTGTGTCCCCACTTCTGTGCTGACATAACAGGGGCCCACCTTGATTATTAGGGTGGTCATGTGCTTAGCTAGTGAAGAAGGGAGAGTTCGGGACTTGGAGATTCAAAAGTAGAGGGATTCCTGCTCCCCTTGGCCAAATGGTTTCACAGTGAGACTGGTCTTAACATGGCTCCCCACCACAGCACCAGTGAACAAGCTAGAAAAGAAAGGATTTCCTTTCTCCAGCATCTGTTTGCTGCATACACCACAGATCTCCAGTCTTAAACTATTTTTTGCGGTGTGCCATATTGAACACCTTTGGACCCTTTCTTTTTTGCTTAAAGCCCCACTGAGAGGGGTTCTCCTCCTTCCGCACCATGTTACCTAGTGTGCAATGTTGGAGTCCTTTGCTTCCTTTATAAATTTAAAGAACAATGTTTCTGGATTTCACCAGGTCTCCAACTGTCTACTGTTTACTGCTGTTCTCCTTTGCATTTTCATGCCATTCATCTCTATCTCTCCAGCTACATGCCTGGTGTTTTTTTAGACTTGTGGAGATTCAGGAAAGTGTTGGGTATCTAATCTGCCTTCTTCCCTCTCCAGAGCATGCCTTCTTTTTCGGAAAGGTGAACTCAGTGCCTTGTGCTTGCTAGACAGGCACTCTACCACTTGAGCCATGAGTCTAGCCCTCTTTACTTTGGTTATTTTTGAGATAGTGTCTAACTTTATGCCTAACCAACCTGGACAGTGATCCTCCTATTTGTGCTTCACTGTGTGGCAGAGATGACAGAGACACACCAGTGCACCTAGCCATTGGTTGAGATGAGGTCTCCCAAACTTTTCTCCCAGGCTGACCCTGAACTGTGGTCCTCCCAATCTCTACCTCCCAAGTATCTAGGATCACAGGCATGAACCACTGCACCAGACCAGAGTATGTATTCTTTGTTTCCACATGCTGGTGTGTGCAATGTTACTTTGATTTTTCAAACTTCTTCCTGCTTCAAATTGACCCAACTGCAAATTGGATGTTAGTTCATCTACCACATGAGAGGAGTGAACGTATCAAAATGTCTGACTACAGTAAACATTAAATAAATATGAGTAATTATTATTTAGCCTCAACTACCAAGTCAGAAGGAATCACCATAAGTGAGGACATCAGCTAACCAAAGCAGCAAAACATGGAGACAGAGAGGACAGTGTATCTGGGAAGAGTAGAGTGCATTGTATGCTCACCCTTACCATAGGTACAGAAGGAATTAAAAAGTAACTTTATCTTAAAATTTATTGGTTTAATTAAAGGCATCTCACAAGTTGGTCACAGAATGAGTAGACCATTCTTTCTGCTACAAAGCCCAGAATAACTCCAGCCTCTTCTAAAATTCTTGATCTTTTATCTATTTTTTTGTGGTACTGGGGTTTGAACTCAGGGCCTCATGCTTGCTAGGCAGGCGCTTTACCACTTGAACCACTCCACTAGCCCATCTTTCTGAAATTCTTGAAATGAATGTCACATGTCATGGTGTGTCAGAAGCTCAGTCCCATCACTCTAACATTTTCCTGCACTGGTACCCAGTTCCCTGTTTCTCTTCCTGAGTGAAAACAGACTCAACAGAGTAAGGAACAGGATGTGGCAAATAAAAGCTGTGATCTCCAGTAGTCCTAGCCAGTGAGGGACAGTGGCAACCTTGATTGACTCCAAAGAAGAAAGGACTCAGCAACTGGACTCCCTGAGTGAGGCTTGGGGACTGTGAGAGTTCATGAATGGAATTGAGGGAGCCAGTTCAGGTCCAAACACACCCAGGCTCTGACTGATGCTCTGCTCATCAGATGAGGAGCTGATAACCAGAGGTACCAGAAACTTTACAAAAGACTTTAGATTCAAACTTATGGCTTCAAGAGTATTGCAGTTAGTGGTACAGGTTAAAGAGTGAGGAAGGAGTGAACAAATTCTCTCAGCTATGCATGTGCTGGGGAGGTGGGAAATGGAAGTCTTGACCCCTTGTCCTAGGAAGGGAGAGACTAAGGATTTGGTGCCCTGGGACTTGTGGGGGTGGAAGTTGAGATTTTAGACATCTGGATACTGGGATTGTCCAGGCTGGAAACCTGGACCTCTGTGTTCTTTGGAAGTTGACAGTGGGGGCATCTGGACTGCTATATCCTCTGGAGATGGAGGCTAGGGTTTGAACTGCTGGATCCTGTGGAGGTGGAGGCTAGGGGTCTGGACTCCATGGGTACTATGGGAATAGAAGCTGAGAGTGTGGACTGTGATATCCAAAAGAGAAGAAAATTGGGGGTTTGGACTCTTGGGTTGTGGAGAAGTAGAGGCTGAGGATCTGGACACCTGGGTCCTGGGATGATCGAGCCTGGAAATCTGGACTCTTGGGTCCTGTGGAGGTAGAAATTGAAGGTATGGACTCCTGGGTCCTAGGGTGGTTAAATATGAGGGGTGCTGACCTGTGTCCTGTGAAAGAAGAGGCTGGGATTGGGAGGCTAGATATTGGGGAAGAGAGATGTAAGAACTGAACTTCTAGAGAAGTGGAGACTGAAGTTCTGGACTTTCTGAGTCCTGGGGAGAAAGTCTGGGAACTGGACTACTGAGTTGAGTGAGAAATCTGGACTACTGGTTATTAGAGGTGGAGGCTGGAGCACAGAATCATGGACTTTAAGGAAGTAGAGGCTGTGAGTCTTGAATTCTTTATTGGTAGCCAGGTTCCCTGAACCAGACAGTGGTGTATTCGAACCTCCACCTTCTCTCCAGCAGGGTGTCCGTGCCACAGCCATGTTTCACTGGTGCTGAAGCTGCTATCCCTCACTCTGTTCACTATTCTCCTGGCGGCTGTCCTTGTCAATGGTCAGGCAAGCCTGAGGGTTGGGGCTCCCTGGTCTGACCTTTCAGTTTGGCATAAAGGTCCTTAAGGGAGGGGAGCTTAAACTGGGATCAGGTGCTTCAGGGACTTTCCAGGGCTCCTTCCACCTCTGGTGCAAAGGAGGATTCTGGCTCCACCAGTGGTTAAGCCTCCTCTGGTGTCAGGTTTCCTCACCTTCAAATGGGATTAGACAAGATGTTAACTTTCAGAAACAGTGCCCCTGGAGGCCCAGTACAGGTTGCAGTGCACAGTAGGTGGATAATAATTGCAGCTTCTTTTATTCTGTTATAGTCTCCAAAGTCCCTAGCTCCCAGGTACAGGAGCAGGCAAAACGGGAGAAGATCTACAAGGAAATGACCCAGCTGAAAGCTGAAATTTGTGAGTGACCAGAAACCAAGAGTCCCTGAGGCTCTGACTATCTCTGAGCTATATGGCTTTTCTTGAATCTCTGACTCACTCTGAATCTAAATTTCTTCATCTGTGAATTGGGAATATTGTATAAAATGCACAATGGCACTTGCATGGCAGAGCACCATGCAAACAGTAGGACTCCAATTAAACCAGTTCTCTAAGCCTCTGTTCTGAGCCTAAAATCCCTACATATCTCAGTCTGGAGAAGATGGAACCAGGACTCCTGGTTCTCCTGGGTGGGGAAGGGGTTCAGGGCTAGAAGACTGGGAAGACACAGGAACATAGATCTTCAAACTTGGGTTAGATTGAACTACCTTCCCAACAGACAACCTGTGTCGCCCCTGCCCCTGGGACTGGATGTTCTTCAGAGGAAACTGTTACTTGTTCTCCAAATCTCAACAGAGTTGGCATGACTCTGTCACTGCCTGCCAGGAAGTGAGAACCCAACTTGTAGTCATCAAAAGTGATGAGGAGCAGGTAGGCCTGAGGATGGCATCCTGGTCTGGGGCATGCATCTGATCACTGGCCAACTGGGGAGGAGATGGTTGAGTGAGCAGGATTTTATGGAGTGCTAACTCTACTCAGAAAAGGAGAAGAAGGGTAGGAATAAGGGAGTCTCAAGCACCTTGCACAGAGATGCACACCAGGTCTGAACACGGGTTCATTCTTATACATCAAATGTGTTTCCTGTTGGTTTATGGGCCAGTGTTCAACATCTTAGTCTTTTGAGATGAAAGTCCTGGTATAAATATTGTCACCATGACTGACTTCAAGCTACCAACAGGACATCACTCAATATACTTCTTTATGGTGTAAAGGTGACATGCGTGATCAGAAATCATGAACTGGCACAATCTGTCCCCAGTACATTAAACCCAGTCGTGAATAAACTCTTGTTGACATGTTCAGATCTCACTACACAAACAAGTGTGTGTCATGAGAGGCCAGCTGAGCACATTCTGTGTGCAACTCAGAACACATTTTCCCACAGAATACAGACAGATGTTGGAGGTATCACACCTCCTGAAAACAGGTTGGGGCTCACAGCCTGGTACACTGGAAGGTTGAACATCACAGGCTAAGCAAAACTTCATACTAAGAGTTTGGGGAAACACAGCTGGAAAATGGGAATAAAGAACTCCCTTCTGACTCCTCCTCCCTCTTTCCAGAGCTTCCTGCAGCTGACTTCTAAGAATGAAGGCTATGCCTGGATGGGGCTCTCAGACCTGAAACATGAGGGCAACTGGCACTGGGTAGATGGATCACCTCTGCTGTTCAGATAGATTCAGCCTCAATTTGTTTGGTGAGACTGGGGCTTAAACCTAGCATCTCACACTTGCTAAGCAGGTACCCTACCACCCGAATCACACCCCCAGCTCCAGGTAGAGCCAGGTAAAAGGAACACTCACAGAGTTGGGTGGCATTCTCAAACTCTGACTTGACCTATCATTAGGGTTCTCCCCCACTTCTTGACTCACTAGGCTTAATAGTCTATGTACTGAGTTGAGGAAGGTGGTCTCTTGTATCCATGTTCAGATAGGATGACCAATGCCTAAATTTCCACCATAGAGCAGCAGAAGGAAGTTGGAGCCTGGGCAGGTGACTTAAAATGTAGAATACTAATATAAAATGTGACAGATAGCAAGGTCAACAGATCAGGGGACTATTACATTGAAAAGATAACTTGTTATACTCCTAGACCCCAAGTGAGGAGCACATACCATGCCATGGGGGGTTAAAAGAGGAAGTACGAGGTCCTGTCAGGATGAAGAGGGTGGAGAAACTGTGAACAAGAGTTTTTTTATGGTGTTGTCCATGGGAAGGAACAGATGAGGTAAGGTAAGAAGGCCTGGTATTGGTTTGTTCGGGTTTATATCCCAGTGGGTTCTGGGATATAAAAATTGCCCCCAGGTAGTCTAATACCTGGCCCTGGAGAGGTGTATAGCATCCCAGAATGCAATAGCACTGTAAAGAAAGTGGTTGGGAATGTGGAGTCTAGATTTGTTGGTTTGTATCTGGAAACAACACCCTCAGCAGCAAGACTGCTCTCAACCATGGGATCCAATAAGAGAAAGGGGGCAAGGTCAAGTGACTCAGGTATGTCATTTGGTCCAGAATAAGGCATAGCTGCTATATGCATGCAGGGCTGATGTTAAAGCATCAAGCTTCCAGGAGTAGAAATGTGGTTGATACAAGGGCCTGGGGCTGAGGCTCACACTCTGGATGACTTTTACAGCTTCATGAAATATTGGAATGAAGGGGAGCCCAACAATAATCAGGAGGAAGACTGTGCAGAATTTAGAGGCGATGGCTGGAATGATGCCCCATGTACATGTGAGAAATTCTGGATCTGCAAGAATTCCGCAGCAGTCTGCTCCAACAAGTTAAGTCTCTTCCATTGCCATAGCACCTGTGGGCACAATGTCCTTGCTGGGTGGCAGAACTTGGCCTACGCCATCCAGTTTTTTCTCCCTGTCTGTGGGGTAACAATAGCTCTGTTACCCCACTCTAATCTTGTACTGCCTCAGTGAGCTATCTGATTTTCTAACCTTCCCTAATATTGCTGATCTTTATGAGGGCCAGAAATCTTAAACTGAAACTAACATAAGAAAGGGACTAAAGTAGAATGAAGACAATTAGAGAAGATAAACCAATTGAGATTATAATACATATATGCATGGAAATATCACAAGGAAATTCCCTGTGTAGCTAGCTACTTTTATCTCAAGCAACCTAAAATGTCATGTTTTTCATTTTATCTTTTCTCTCTTTTCTCCTACAAAAATCGGAGAACAGGAGGGAGGAGTAAGTCCTGCCCAGGGAGGAGGACTACACCACTGGGAGGTGGAAGTGATAGAAAGGGGGTAGGAGGGTGAATACAGTGCAAAAAATGTGTACACATGTATGTAGATGCAAAAATGATACTTGTTGAAACTACTCCATGAATTGAGGGAGGGGGGAATGAAGGAAAATGGTTGAAGAGGTGAGTTCATGTAGGATATATTTGATACATTATAAGAACCTGTGTAAATGCCACAATGTATCCCCACACACACCCATCACAACAATAAAGGAAAAAAGTTTAAAAACAGAAAGAAATCCTTCTTTGGGTACTCTAACAAAACATTTGGCTCTAAAGTGGCTGCCAGATTGACTTACAGACAGCCTCATCATAATCCTGTCTGCAGGTTAAACAGTTGACAATTGCCATAACTATGGCTGAGAAGAACCATAAAAGAAGCAAATAAATGTGATGTCCAAATTCCCTTAAAATCTCTGCCCATCCCCAGAAAATATATAATAGTCCTCCCCTTTGTTGGTCTCTCTTCTCCTCATTTCTTTGGCAGGGGTGGAGGGGGTTGGTGTGTGAATGTATATTTGTGTGTGTGTGTGTGTGTGTGTGTGTGTGTGTGTGTGTGTGTTAGTGATAGGATCTTACCATGTACACCAGGCTGGCCCGAAGTTGAGATTCTCCTGCCTCAGCCTCCCAAGACTGGGATTGCAGGCATGTACTAACCTACCCAGTCCTTTCCCTCATTTCTTTTACCCTGTATCTATAACCTCCCAATCCCTAACCAATTGAGAGGGTCATGTGCAAGTCTATGTGCCCTTCTCTTATTCTGGCCTCAAAACAAAATTCTCCTTCACTGCTAAGTTGGTGCTCAGTCTTGTTATTGATTCCACAATTCCAAGAAGAAAACAATGACCAAATTGATAACAATCTCTTTTCTATGTTCAGGTCATCTTTTTTTTTAGTTTTCACATATGAAAGAAATATTGCATACTTATCTTTCTATATCTGGCTTATTTCATTTAATATGATGGCCTCCAGGTCCATTCATTTTTCTGCAAGTGACAGGTTTTCATTCTTTATGGATGAGCAACATTTTGTTGCATATAGGTATCATATTTTCTTTATTCATTCATCTGTTGACAGGCATCACAGTTATTGTGAATAGTGCCATTAATAATACACATAGGTATGCAGATATCTCTTTTGAATGCTGACTTCATTTCCTTCAGTTATATACCCAGGAGTCCTATCCAGAAAATCATTGCCTGTATCAATAACTTGTTATAGTTTCCCTCTACATTTTCTTCTCATACTTTCAGAGTTTCATGTCTTACATTATGGTCTTTGATCCATTTGATTTGATTTACGTACAAGGTAAGAGATAGGGATCAAATGTCATGGATACCCAGTATTGCAGCACCACTGTTAAAGAGATTGTTCTTTCTCCAATATATGTTTTTGGCACCTTTGTCAAAAACAATGAATATTATGCTAATAAAAATGGGAAAAAGAATCATTTGGCTGAAGATGAGGCATGGATTTATTTTTTGGTTCTGTATTCTCTATTCTATTTCATTGGTCTATGTGCCTGTTTTTAGCCCCAAACCATGCTGTGTTGTTACTATGGCTGTACAGTATATGTTGACATCAGATATTATGGCTTTGTCTCTGCTATTCAACATCTTTGGGCTTCCATATGAATTTGAAGGATGTGCTCTAGTTCTGAGAAGAATGTCATTGGAGTTTCGAGGGGGATTACATTGAATTCATAGATTGCTTTAGGTCATATGGACATTTTAACAATATTAATTCTTTCAATCCACGAACATGAAAGGACTTTTCACCTCTTAATGTCTTCATCAGTTGCTTTCTTTAATGTTTTACAATTTTCCTTATAGAAGTTTTTTACATCCTTAGGTTTATTCCTACATATTTTATTTTATCTTTGGTGATTATTGTGAATGGGAGTGTTTTCTTGATTTTATTCTCAGCAAATTCATTATTGGTGATATACAGAAAAGCTACTGATTCTTTGTGGTACCAGGGTTTGAACTTGGGGCCTGACACTTGCTAGGCAGATGCTCTACCACTTGAACCACAACCCTACACTTTTTGCTTTAATTTATTTTTCAGGTAGAGTCTTACATTTTTGCCTTGGGCTGGCCTGAACTGCTATCCTCCTACCTATGCTTCCCTTGTAGCTGGGGTGACAGACACACTCTACCATGCCCAGCTTTTTTGTTGGTGAGATAGGGTCTCACTTACTTTTTGCTGAGGCCAGCCTCAAAACCACAATCTTCCTGGTCTCCACCTCCTAAGTAGCTAGGATTCTACAAGAATGAGCTACTACTCCCAGCTTAAAGCTACTGATTTTGTATGATGATTTTTTTATTCTGCTTTAAAAAAAATCCTAAACACTGAAATTTTGTGAGTTCTCAGGTTGGAGAACATGTGGGATTGCTGGAGGATAGCATAACTGGTGTATTAGACAGCTTTCCATCTCTGTGACAAAATACCTGAAGGAAACAATTTAAAAAGAGGAGAGACTTATTTTGACTCATACTTTCAGATGTTTCAGTCCATGAATGACTGGCTCCACTGATTTGGGACTGGGACAAGTTAGAATACCATGGCAGTGGGAGTGCATAGCAAAGAGACTGCTCACTTCATGACAGTCAGGAAGCACAGAGGACATTGTAGGGACAAGATATACCCTTTTAGGGAATACTCCCAGGGATTTTCTTTCTCCAGTTAGTCCCTACCTCCTAAAGTTTCCATCACCTACAAATAATACCATCAAATTATGAATACATAAGTGGATTAGTACATTGACTGCTCAGAGTCCTTATGGTATAATCCAAAAGCCCCACCTCTGAATGTGGTTACATAGGTGACCAATCCTTCAACACCTGGGTGGAAATTTCATAGTCAGACCATAACATCTTGAGAGGATTTGGAAGCTCCATGCAGCTTCCTCACTCCTTCCCTTATCCTGTGCAACTTTTCCAGTTGGTTACTTCTGAGTTGTATCTAGTATAGACCATAATCCAATTTCTAATAGACCAGTAATCCAGCTTATGGTGAACTGATAATTCAGTTTCTGATAGACTAGTGAATGTCAATAAAGAGTTTTCTGAGTTCAGTGACTCAAATTATAGAACCTGAGAGAGTAACTGGTCAAGGTTTGGTTCTTCTCACCACTCAAGAAGGTCAATAATTTTGAGGACAAGTTATCAGGTCAATGAAAAATATTTATTCAGAAAGTTATCAAGCCAAAGGAATGGATAACTATTTCTGACAAAGACCATCTCAGGGAACTTGGGGGCACAAAGGGCTTTTAGGTGAAGGAAAAGAGACAGGGAGGTAAGGAGAAGGAAGACTATCTTCATCATCCAGGGCCTGTTTCTTTTATTCCCAAATATCCTTGATATAGCAATCAACTTTCTTTTTCATTCCTTAAGTCGGTCCCTGTAATTCTTTTAGATGAACGCATGATTTCCCTGCAAGTTAAACACTGTTTATTTTTAACTAAGAACAAGATTAGCTAATCCTTAGCCCACACTTTGATATTATATGATGACCAGCAAATGCCCTGGGTTTCATGAACATAGAGAAAATTGCTGATTGGTAAATTTTACCACTTGTCTCTTTCAGTTCTTTTTCCTAGGAACAGCTAACCTTGCAGTTACTCATTAAAATACAAATAGCAATAGGGAAATAAATAAAATACAAATAGCAATAGGGAGCTAAATAAGACAATAACTTGAATCCATCAAGAGGCTTTGGTCAGAGGTGTCCTCCATAGCAAAGCTAGTGGGAAATTAATAATATATTACTCATCTGTGTGACTTCCAAAATTAGTGATTTTTTAAAGTCACCTAAAATCAAGTGAAGCTAAACTGTTTATTTAGGTTTTCCCTCGGTTATGAGGGATTGTCCAAATCCCAACTTCATCTTCAGCCAGGCAGAAGTATAGGCACCTCAGCACTCTCCTAGAGGTTGGCATGTGAAATACGTTCTGCCTGGCAAGACTAAGTCTTCCCACTTGTGAAATATGTTGCTAACTCTAGGTAGTTAGTTTCAGAATTAGAGGATTTCTTAGTACAAAAAAAATCACACAGGCTTCCTGTCCCTTCTGTTTATGTTAACCTCATGATGCTCCTTCATAAGCAACTTCCATGTTAAATTCCATCTCATGAATAGTTGATCTTCCTCATGTTTTTATGTCATTGCTTTTCTCTCATTTTCCACTTTTCCATTTTATTTGTCTTCTTACTTTCAATATTTCCTTCCTCAGGTTTGCATTGGTTAGATTTTCTTCTGTTTTCCAGCTTCTTTTTTTTTTTCTGGTACTGGGGTTTGAACTCAAGGCCTCGCACTTGTTAGGCAGGTGCTCTACTACTTGAGTCATTCTTCCAGCCCTTGTTTTCTAGCTTCTTGAAGAAGGAATTTAGATTGTGGATTTGCCATCTTTTGTCAAACCTTAAAATGTAAATATTTAGTTTGGAGTTGGAGCAATGGCTTGTGCCTGTAACCCAAGCTGCTCATGAGGGGGAGATCAGTAGGATCATGGTTCGAGGCCATCCTGGGCACTCCATCTCAATCAATAAACCAGGCATGGAGGCATACAGGTGTGATCACAGGTGTGTGGGAGGTTGTAGGTAGGAGGATCATAGTATGAGGCCAGCCCTGGGCAAAAACCGAGAAATCCTATCTGAAAAATAACTAAAGCAAAAA